CCCTGCTGCACTTTCGGCATTTGCACTCGACTCTGTGGAGACGCATCACCTGTACTCCTCTATGGATCTCTACCCTACACCACTGTGGTAGTCGACCATGTCCAAGATTGAAAAGCTGTCCGTCCAGGGCATCCGGTCCTTCGGGACCGGCAGTGGCCGCGAGACCATGCAATTCTTCACGCCCCTGACCCTCATTGTCGGTTACAATGGTTCGGGCAAGACGACCATTATCGAATGCCTCAAGTACGCCACCACCGGCGAGCAGCCCCCCAACAGCAAGGGCGGTGCATTCGTCCACGACCCTAAAGTACGACCTACCCCGCGTTGCCGGTTCGGCGAATCATCTCGTACTACCAAAGCTTCCTCTGCTAACCTTCAATGTTCCAGCTCGTCGGCGAGAAGGAGGTCCTGGCGCAGGTCAAGCTGGCATTCACCTCGACCACCGGCGTTAAGCATGTCGTCACACGAAGTCTTCAGTTGACCATCAAGAAAACCACCCGCTCCCTCAAGACCCTCGAGGGCTCACTAGCGACAAACAACAATGGCGAACGGTCCGTTCTCTCGACACGAGTGGCGCAGATGGACGAGGCTGTCCCTGCTCTCCTCGGCGTTTCGACCGCCATTCTGGACTACGTCATATTCTGCCATCAGGACGAATCTCTGTGGCCCATGAGCGAGCCCGGCGCCCTGAAGAAACAGTTTGACCAAATCTTTGAAGCCATGCGGGTACACGAAAGCCATCGACAACCTCAAGGTCCTCCGGAAGAAGCAGGGCGAGGAGCTGGCACGCCTCAAGATACACGAGAGCCAGGACAAGATCAACAAGGAGAAAGGCGACCGCGCCCGAGAAAAGATCCATGGAGCTTCAAGCCGAGATTGAGGGATCAAGGGAAGCATGCAACGGCATGAATGATGAGATGGCCGAGCTCTCGGCGCAGATCAAGCAGAAAAGGCTCGAGGCCAACAAGTTCTTGAACATTGTTAATGACCTCAAATACAAAAAGGAGCAGTTTACATTCCGTCAGGGCGCCGTCTCGGACCTTCAGACTACTCTGGAGGAGCTCGAAGAAGACGATGAGACGCTGCAAACCAATCTATCGCAGTATGAGGAGCGCATGGCACGCTTCCAGACTGAAGAGCGCCAGAACAGATCGCAGTACACACAGCTCCAGAACGATCTAGGCAGGTCGAGGAATGACTTGTCGGCAAAACTTTCCGAGAAGGGCAAACACCAGTCGGATAAGGACAAGTACGAACGTCAGCTTGCCTCGCGTGTCGACCTGATTCACGAAGCTGCTGAGCTGCACGGCTTCCGAGGTTTTGACGGCGATTTGAAAGACACGCAAATCAAGTCGTTCAACGACAGGATACAAAAGCTTCTAGCCGACAAGAAACGGGATCTCGAGCGCATTCAAAAGGAAAATGCTCAGGAGCTTGACAAGGCCACTGGCATCATCACTGACCTCGAGGGCCGCAAATCTACCATGACTCAGAATCGCGTGTTCGCGAAGCAGCGCATGGGTGCCATCGAGAAGCGTACCGCTGTCATCCAAAATGATATCAACACATTAGATGTCGATGAAGGTGCCAAGGCTATATTGGATAGTCAGTTCGAAGATATCGAGGGCCGGCTGGCGAAGACGACCGAGTCAATCGACAGCGCTGGGTTCGATGGTCAAATCGAGCAGGAAAACGAGAAGCTCTATCAATTGGAGAGTGAAAATGACAAACTGGGCCGAGAGCTGATGGAGGCCACGCGTCTAGCTTCCGAGCGAGCCCAGCTGGAATACCGAAAAAAGGAGCTGGTTGACCGCAAGAGAAAGCTGGAGACTCTCACAAGCACGTGGAAGGAGAAGCTTGACGCACAGATCGGCAGTGAGTGGCAAGCGGAGACGATTGAACCACAGTTCCAGTCAGTGCTCAAAAAGCAGTCACAGCTTGTTGCACAGGCGCGCCAAAAACGGGACACGGCACGCGAGAAGCAACAAAAAATCGACTTTAGCCTGAAATCAGCGCGGGACGCACAACAAAAGAAGTCAGACGAGATTTCTCGCTGTCACGACAGGGTCCTCGACGTCTTGAAACAGGTCAGGGATGAGGCCACCATCGACGACTATGCTGAGGAGGTCAAACTTCTTGAGGAGGACGTTGAGGCCTACTCGACGGACATCAGCCTTCTGGAGGCGTTGTCTGATTACTACAAGCAATGTCAGGAGACATTGACCAAGAAGAACAAGTGCAAGCTGTGTGACAGAGGTTTCGACGACAAGCAGAGCGTCAATAAGTCGCGTTTCTCAGACAAGCTTATCAAATATCTTGACCCTTCGAAGAAAGAGAAGGCCAGTGAGGACCTCGAAAAGTCCAAGGCGACGCTCGATAAGTTGCGGCAAGTCAGAGTTCAACACGAAACGTACGAGCGGTCCCTGGGCGAGCTACCGGGTCTGAAAGAAGCGTGCAAAACTCTTGAGGCTGAGCTTGAAACCCACGAGAGGCAGCTTGAAGAGCATGATGAAAATGTCAATGCCGAAGAGGCGAAACAGGCCGATGTTGAGGCCTTGAACAAGACCGTCATGAACATCTCTCAGACTCTCAAAGACATGAAGGATTCCGAGGCCCAGGTGGAGCGGATCATGTCGCAACAGTCATCTGGCATGGCTACGAGAACTGCTGATGCAATACATGAGCTGCAGGCAACCTGCAAAGAGCAGATGCGGTCGACGAAAGCTCGCCTCACCAAGATTACAACTGACCGACAGAGGATGCGAGACCAGCTCAACAGCCTAGAACTAGAAAGGAGCGAGCTGAAAAACAAGCTCAGCAAGGTGCAGAGTCAATTGGAGCGCAAAAAGGACTTCCAGAACCAGATTCAAGCTTTGAAAGAGGATCAAGCCAACCAACGGGAGCTCATTCAGAAGGCTGACCAAGACCTGGAGGTCATCGAGCCTTCAATCGCAGAGGCTCGCGCAGTGCGGGATGATACGCTCCAGCGCGGCCGCGCGAAAGAAAAGGCCATCGTAGAGGAGCGCGATTTGGTTGCCAACTCGGTTACTGAGCTCAAGATGGTCGAGAGCGACATTCAGGACTACATGGACCGTGGGGGGCCTTCCAACCTCGCCGCGAACCAGCGCGCCATTGATGGCCTTGAAAAGACGATTGCCGCCACGGAACAGGAAATATCCGATCTCACGGTCCGGACGAACAAGTTGAAGCAAGACATCGATAATGGCGACCGGAAAAAGCAAAACATCAGCAACAACCTGAAGTTCCGCCAGAACAAGCGTCAACTCGATGTGCTTCGCGCTGAGATTGACGATCTCCAATCCTGCGACGCCGACGACGACTACGACAGGCTCAATGACGAGGCGGTCCAACTAGAGAACCGTCACAACATGCTAGTAGCCGAACGCGGCTCCCTCATGGGCCAGATGAAGACCAAGGACGAGGAGCTTGCGCGGCTTCTTGGGCGAGTGGGGAAATGGGACTACCGGGACGCTTCCAAGAAGTATCGAGAGTCCCACATCAAGGTCGAGACGACCAAGGCGGCAATCGAGGATCTCGGTCGCTACGGCGCGGCACTCGACAAGGCCATCATGCAGTACCACGGCCTGAAGATGGAAGAAGTCAACCGCATCGCCGGCGAGTTGTGGCAGAGCACATACCAAGGTACCGACATTGATACGATTCTCATTCGGTCCGACAACGAAGGTGCCACAGGGCGGCGCTCGTACAACTACCGCGTGTGCATGGTCAAGCAGGACACCGAGATGGACATGCGCGGGCGCTGCTCAGCTGGCCAGAAGGTGCTCGCCAGCATCATCATCCGCCTCGCGCTGGCGGAGTCTTTCGGCGTCAACTGCGGCCTCATCGCACTCGACGAGCCAACCACCAACCTCGACAAGGACAACATCAAGTCTCTCGCCGAGAGCTTGCATCACATCATCAAGTCACGCCAGGCGCAGAGCAACTTCCAGCTCATCGTCATCACCCACGACGAGGAGTTTCTTCGACACATGCGGTGCAGCGAGTTCTGCGACAGCTTCTTCCGCGTGAAGCGTGACGACAAGCAATGCAGCGTTATTTCGCGAGAGAGCATTACGAGGGTGCTGTAAATGCATGTGTGTGTATGTTGTGTAAGATTGTCGAGATGTTACTCTATAGCATGGCGTTTCGGTGGGCATGATAATGTAGCATGCGGTCCGGGGTGCCGCTCACGAATGCATGGGGAAAGTGAGGACAACCAGTTCTTGACAGAGTTTCCTGTTCGTCTTAACTTGCTGCGTTTGTGTGGTCCTGTTTGTGCCGCTCTCCATGGTCGAGCCGTTTCATGTTGATCGTTCCCAAGTCTCGCATCGTCAAGGCCCTAACGATCCTGGTATCTTTCGTCTTCCGTTCTGGATCCAACGGTGCCCCTCGAATGCTGCCCCCTCCTCGTCCCTCCAAAACAAATATCCCTTCAACCCTCCTTCGCGCTGTCGACTTTTTCCGTCTTGTCCTCGGTGCCATCATCGCTCATGTCCTCGTCTCCGTCTCCGTCCTTGCGCTTCTTGGGCGCGGGACCCTCCCCAACGTCGGCGTCCGCCTCCCTCTTCTGCGACGCCTCGCTCTCGGCGTCCGAGGCGGCGTCGTCTTCGTTGATGCTGGTCGTCGGCTCCTCATCGGGCTTGCGGCCCACGGCGGCCTCGACGTCGATGCCCTGCATTTCGACGCCGGGGCCGCCATACGTGGTCCTGGACGCACTCTGGGGGCCGAGGTCGTCGGCGCCGATCTCGGCCGGGCCGCGGGCGTGGGGCACCTCGTCTGCGTCGGCGGCGACTGCCGCGGCGGTGGGGGACGTTGTCGTCGCCTCGTCGCCGTCAGCTGCGTCGGCGGACGTGTCTGTGGTGGGGGCGGCAGCGGTTGATGCATCGGCTGCCATGTCGTCGTCGTCGGCGTCGGGGTCAGCATCGGGGTCGATGTCTGAGGACCCGGCGCGGGCGGCGGCGGCGGCGGCCTGAGCGGCGGCGAGCTGGGCGGCGGCGGCGTGGATGTGCTGGGCGGCGGCTTCTTCTGCTTGGCGCGCGAGTTGGCTGACTGGGACGACGCCGCGCTGCTGCTCTTGTCGTAGTAACTCACCTTGGGTGATGGGACGGGGGCCCGTGGCGGCGGAACTGGCGGCGGAGGAGATGCCGTTGACGCTGATGGTGACCGTCTCAATGTGGCCCATGCCGTTGGGGCCCTCGATCGTCTCGGTCGACTCGGTGCGGATCTCGTGCTGGCCCTGGGACTGCTGGCCGGTGCCGGGCGAGGGTCCGCTGCCGGAGTGCGTCGAGGTCGGGCTGGACGAGGCAGAGTCGCCTCGGGGGCTGGGACGTCGCGTTAGCCAGGGGATGGGGGTTAGTAAAGCGCCGCCGAGGGCTTCGTCGGAGCCGACGCCGGAGGCTGGAGGCGCTGCGGTCGTGGGGTTGCCCCAGGACACATTGGCGGCCGGGTCTTTCGGTTCGGGTGTCCTCGTTGTTGATGTGATGGCGCCAGTCACGGGGTCAGTCACGCCGTTGGAGAGAAGCGTCATGGTCGACATGTCGGGGATGGCGGGTGGCAGAGGGTAGATATTGTTGGTGGAAGTGACATGGACGACGCGGTCGAGCGCGTGTAGGTAGGAAGCGAGGTGACGGTAGTGCTGACGCGGCTCGAGAAGTAGCTCGGAGACGCGCTGAATTGTGTGTGGTGGGAATTTGGTGAAGTTCTTGGTCAGGACATTGTTAATCTCGGTGAGCATGCCGTCCAGTTGGGGCGGGAGCACGCCTGGCGGCAGGGTGACGGGCAGCGCCGGCGCCGGCGCCTCTTCTGGATCATCTGTGACGGTGGGTTCGGTAGTAGCAGCGGAGTTCTGGGGTTGGTTATTCTCCTTGTCGGCATCCTGGGAGGAGGGCCGGCTGGTGGGCGCCTCGAGCGACGAGGAAAGGAGTGGCGGAAGGGTTCTTTGTTGGCCTGGTGCGTTGGCCTGCTGGGGAGGGGGTGGCAGGGCCGGGATAGGGAATTCGTCATGTGCGATCTAGAGAGTGAGGAGTATGGTCAGCATTGAAGCCAATAACAAGAGAGGCCTGCCCACCTTGTCGAGTCTCGAGAGAATACTTTGGAGCAGGTTCGGCCATTGAGCGCTGGCGATGATTAGGTCCTGGTCAAAGATGTTAGAGCACTGGAAGACAAGCCACTTACTAGTCCATGGCACCCCCTGCAGCAAGCTGCCGCAAGACTTCCTCGTCCGTCTCGATCTCCATGATGGGCAGTGGGCGATCGTTGGGAAGATAGATCAACCGCACAAGTCGTGGAGAGGTTGCGACAGCCGATTGACGTCGCGTGGAGTCGCGACAGGGAAAGAGGCAAGGCGGGACAGCCGACCTCCCATTGGTTCAGGGGTCTGATGCAGGTGCAGGAGCTACAGCGTCTAGGTACCTAGGTACCCAAGTACCTTAGGCAAGTAAGGTACCTTAGGCAAGTACCTTAGGCAAGTACCTCGAGAGCGTGCTCGAACCTCAATATCTTGGGGCATGCGCTAGTGCATTCATATGTCTATAGGGTAACAATGCTACTATCGAATATGAATGCTGGAGGTGAGAATGATTCCCGCGCCCAAGCTTTTAAGAACTACCGCTCAATCTGCACGGTTTTCAATCGCAGCTTGGAGGGGTGAGACTATTGTCAAGCAAGAGGAATTCAGGCCCTCAAGAGTCAAGAGCAAACACTGGTTATGCTCCGCCGTGAATCGTCAACCACTATGATGCTGGAACATGAGAAATTCTCCATCAAAATGTAAGGAGAAGACAATGCCCGGTTGTCACAGAGAGATACTACGAGCAAGAATGTTTGGCATACCAGAGTATCGGACCACGAACCCAAGGTGCCCTTCCTTGTTTGTGCAACTCCTCAATTCAGAGTCATGATGATGATTACTAGCCTGTCATAAGACGCGGATTCTCGGCACATCATCGTTGTCTGTGTAGTGTAGTGGTTATTCACATTTGTCTTACATAATCTCGTTCGAGAACAAGTAACACAAAAGGTCCCAGGTTCGATCCCTGGCATAGACAAACTTTTGCTAGTTGAAGCTAGGAGCTCGTTTACTTATTTCCTTTCCGATGAGAGTTTGGCCAGGCAAAGCTGAAGTCTTTACATTTTTCCCTTCATGAATAGCTTACTTCTTCATTAAAAACACAACATCCACGCAACACAAAAGGCCCCAGGTTCGAGCCCTGGCATAGACAAGTTTTGCTACTACGGCCGGATCACATGGGCCCTTGTATTTTGCCCGAACCACCTTACGAATGAGGTTTCTTTAATTATGATCTTCTCCATGTAGAAACTTGGGTCAAACGCTCTTTGTTCAGCCCGAACCTTCAGGTCTACGCTTCATGATAGCTTTAATATTACGGAACTGGTACTGACGCTAGATCCAGGTAGAGGATATTCAGAAGCCGTCTGTCTAGGTGGATCGTCTCCTGGGTACATACCCTCGGGAATCATACCGGCACACGCAAAGCTCTTTTGCTCCTGTCAGCTCAACTCAGATCAAGGTCACAGAGTGGTCAGGAAATGGGCTTTGTGCAGCTAATTGCAGCTACCTAGATTCGCTTGAAGAACAATAGCAGTTCTGAACTATGCCTGCAGAGGTTGACCCATGCCTCCATATGTGACCATTTTCGTAATCTGATATTCCGAGACACCGTAAAGCGAACCCTCCCTTCCAAATCCACTTTCCTTGACACCACCGAAAGGCGCGGCAGGGTCGGAAATGAGACCCGTGTTGACGCCGACCATGCCAACCTCCAAGGCCTCGGCGACACGGTGCACGCGGTGCAAGTCCTTCGAGAAGAAGTAGCCAGCCAAGCCAAAGGTTGTGCTGTTTGCCATGGCAACGACCTCGGCCTCGGTATCAAAGGGGAAGATGCCCGCCACCGGGCCAAACGTCTCCTCCTCGGCCATAGCCATGTCGCGCGTCATGCCCGTCAGGACGGTAGGCTCGAAGAAGCTACCCTCCATCTTGTTGCCACCAACCAGGACCTTGGCGCCCTTGGCTGTAGCATCGCGGACGTGAGCATCAGCCTTGTCGACAGCGCGATCATGAATGAGAGGTCCGTGGGTTGTGCCTTCTTCGAAACCGTTTCC